GTGAATTCACCACCACTACCTCCCACGGTGCGTTTAATTATTGTGCCGATTTCTTACTAATGCGTGCTTCATGGCATGGAAAGAACACAAATGTGAAGAACAGAGTATTCTCCCTGACCTCCTTGGGGAAAGACACCAAAGCCCATAAAAACAAGGGAAAACATTAAATTACATTGAACAAGTGGCAGATGAGTGGTCCAGATGATTACGCAGCCCCTGTGGCCCCATCCTCAGCCGGCAACCTGGCTTCCATCCCTGAGCCCATGTCTTACTGTCTTTATGCTTGAAAGGCCATTTTCTAGCACTTTCTATGCAAGCCTTAATTCTTTATCCTTTCGCTACCCTCCATGACTGCCTTTTAAAACTCTTTCCTAAGTTTTTGTTTTGCTTCCTTCTTCTTTGTCTGCCATGCTGTAGAGTTGATTTCTCTCTGTATGTGAATTATTTTTCTTTTATGACTGGGTCTCTTTATCTTGCCCAGTCTTGCCGTGAACATCCGATTCTCCTTTCTCCCTCAGCCACTCTAGTGCTGTGGTGTTAGGATCACTGACTTTTACCACCGTGCCTCAGATGCTTTCAACGTACTTTCATGTCTGCATCTTTGAAATATTAATTGCCCATACATTGTTGCTAGAATTTATGTCTTATGATGACACCAATTGCATGCATGGTTTCGAGCATAAACGTTTAGAAAAAAGCTCAAGCATAAATACATTTATTATTCCACTGTTTTGTGTGCACCTCTTTGTCAAGTCATCCATAAAGTCATGGATCAGAACGGTGTGGTTATTTGGGATGTTCACAAACTAATGCAAGTGGAGGGAGGGGAGTCTAAATGAACCGCTGTGGAGTAAATTACCATAAGAAACATCATTGACAAAGTAATGGGGGTTCATGGCAGTATTGATTTGCCAAGATTTTCAAACATGTAGTAACAATTCATAAATGCATATATTATCTATTTTAAAATTGAATTATTAAACTATATTTCTAAAAATATTTGATCAAGTGCATGAGAAAATTATAACATGGTTAAACTATCAGCTTACTATATTGGGTTATCTTAACAGTGCTACAATTTTAAAATGGTAAATGAGTTACAGAAGTATTGGATAAGTTTATAGAGTATTATATCTGATTGCTAAGCTAACCCAAGACTGTAATTTTAATTGAAGTTAGATCTCATCTGTTTCCTCATTTGCAAAAGTAACTCGTATTTTTCTTTCACAATAAAACATTCAACTTATGATATATTCAAATGATAGAACACCTTGCTAGTATGGACACAGAAACAGTATTAAAGGATTTTACTAGATACTTAATTTTTATCTCATTTTATGTCTTATGTAATATATTTTATATTTACATGTTAAAAACTAAACATATGTATAGACAGATATGTGTACACACTTAGATGCATACATTTTAGAGGGTACATCCCCAATGCCCACTATTCTTTATTAAGCTATGTTTGATTATAATAACAGAAATCCTGACTAGTGGTGACTTAGACAACCTGGACAAAACTTAATTGAAAACACAAGAAGCTGGTTTGAAAGTTCATATAGCAGTCTGAACTCATCCTGTCTCTTCATACCTGTGGCAAACTTTGATGTCATAATGAATGTGTCTTAACTTGCCCCAAGTTTCTGTGGTTTGAGGTAATCATTACAATGTGGATGCTACTTCACACAATGCTCAGGTAAAAGGCTGAGATTTGGAACTTATTGGTAATTTCAGTTTGTTTACCAATAGGCAGATCAATCCCTGCATTATGCCGTGGTTTAGTACATGAAGGTTTACAGGATAATCATGGCATTCACATTGACTGTTAAGCACTTTAAATTAATTCTCAGATTCTCCAAGTTACAGATATAGGTACTACAAGTGCATGCTAAGACTTGATCCTACCCAGGTCTTTTTCAGAGTCACTTACTAGGGGTTTCTGACCCTCAGCAATGTGCTGACAGATGACTACAGCCCTAAGAGCAATATAATTGGCAGAATGGGCGGGAGACCCCAGGAGAGAGCAATTTGTCAGGTGGAAATTAATTGATTTTAATTGCTTTACCATCATATAGTGCTTAGAGTCCATAGCTTGTTAAACCACTGATTATAAAAATAAGGATCTAACTTTTTCTGTTGTAGGTTATGTTAATGAAAAGCTGCTCTTAGAGATTGTTAAGCCACTGATTATAAAAATAAGGATCTAACTTTTTCTGTTGTAGGTTGTGTAAATGAAAAGCTGCTCTTAGACAGGTGATCAGTAAATATCAATCGATGGATAATAAGAAATTAAAGGAGAAGTGAAGTAGCTGATCACGAATTAACAACATACTCCAGCAATCAGGATAGCAGTCAACTGTGCTGTTTCATACTGAATTTTATGCTTGGAGCTCCTGAATAATGACTATTTCTCATGGAAAGAGACACTAATTCTGTGTGGCTGTGCAGAATACTCTGCTCCAAATTCAAATCTTTGCTGTACAGGAGATCTCGAAAACAGAACATTGAGTCTTCTTTGCAGAGTCTTTATTTTGTGGGGAAGTAGTAATGGGAGGGCAAAATCTTAAAACAGAAAAAACAAAGTTTTTGTGGTAACCCAGAGGACATCAAAAGCCCTGTTTGAATGTATCTATATAGGAGTGTGTGTATGAATCTGAAGGCATTGTTTTGAAATAGCCATCAGTACCGAAACTTAAACCAAAATGAGAGCACGAGTATGAAATCATAG